CAGCTCACCGAAACATCATCACACCTGCGCGCTGTAAGTCCGATGCGCATGAAGGACGTACGAGAGGTGCGCATCAACGCACAGCTCGAGTTGTGGTTGATGAAACGGAGAAAAGCCACACTCGTCGAGCCTCACTCTTCTTCTCCTTCTCCCACGAAGCTTCACACTGGAAGCATCACACTGGGAGCATCACACTGGACGTACACCGTAGACAGTACAATGGTTCAAAGAAGAGTGGCTGCGTTACAGGTCGGGTACGAGACAAGCACAGCAAAGACGCTGGAGAAGATCCTCTCGTATGAGGAGCAACTGATTAGGGAAAAGGTTGACCTTGTGGTTATCCCAGAGGCCACCTTGGGAGGCTACCCTAAGGGCACCACGTTTGGATGCTATATGGGGTACAGACTACCAGAGGGCCGTGATGAGTTCCTGGCATACCACCGGGAAAGTGTCAAGGTGCCTGACGGACCAGAGGTCCATGCCCTTGAAGGGTTTGCCAAACGTATCAATGCGACTGTGGCCATTGGTGTTATCGAGAAGGACGGCACCACATTGTACTGTACTCTGGTGTACATTGACCCGGAGACTGGCTACGTGGGCAAGCATAGAAAGCTGGTTCCAACAGCCACGGAGAGACTGGTGTGGGGCTCTGGAGATGGCTCAACTCTCCCTGTGATCGACACCAGGGTTGGCAAGATTGGTGGTGCCATCTGCTGGGAGAACTTTGTCCCTCTGCTGAGACAGGCCATGTACTCTAAGGGCGTCGATGTCTGGGTTGCGCCTACTGTGGACATGAGAGAGATCTGGAGAACGAGTATGCGTCACATAGCCTATGAAGGCCGCCAATTCCTCGTGAGTGCTGTGCAATACCAGGGTCCGGTGCCTGAGGAGCAAACACCAAAGGGCTGGCAAGTTGGTGCTCCGTTGATTAATGGAGGTTCTGTCATTGTTAACCCGATGGGGGAGATCATTGCAGGCCCATTGATTGGTGAAGAGGGTGTCTTAAGTGCAGACATCGATACCGATGACGTTATTAAGGCAAGGTTCGACTTCGATCCTAGTGGCCATTACTCCAGAGGCGACGTTTTCCAATTGACAGTAAACGAGACTTCTACAGGTGTTAAGTTCGTTCAATAGTACACTTTTTCCTGCTTTGATACCTATATATATGCCACACAAGATCTCATGGTCTTTCAGTAAAACTCATTCTTTGCCTCAACTATCTGATCTCTGGCGAATTGAGAACCACCTTTGGTATCAATAGCCTCCGGCATGTCTTCATCCTCATCGTCGTATAGCTCAACATCCCTTGGAACGTCCTGTATTTGAACACTTGGGGCAAACTTTGTATGCTCAAGATTCGAAAAGATCTGGGTTAGAATCTTATCCAAGTACTCTGGACTGTTTGCGTTGTACATATTCGAAGGTCTCACATCAAGCTTATAGTCTGGCCCGTAGTACTCATAATAGTCGTTGAAGGGCAAGTCCTCGGAAAGGATCTCACTGTTCAGCAACCCTGTTTCGAAAGCCCACGTTCTAGCAACGTTTCTCATAGTGTAGCCACCTCCGCCAACAACCATCAGTGGGACTCCCAGCCCTTTACAGAAGTTGACACAGTTGGCATGGCCTCTCATGGACAAGTTGAAGCAACCCAGTCTATCACCACTCAGGGAATCTCCACCACACTGCAGCACTATAGCGGAAGGCTGGTACCACTCCATGATCTTCGAGATCAGAGGCTCAAAAATGGATCTATACGTTGCATCGTCAATACCGTCTCTCAATGGCACGTTAACGGCGTAGTTCTTACCCTTGCCCACACCGGTATCACGCAGCTCACCGGTACCTGGGAAGAATTCACCATACTTGTGGAATGAACACGTCATGACACGGTCCGTCGTGTAAAACGCCTCTTCAACACCATCTCCGTGATGCACGTCCGTGTCGATATACAGCACACGAGGGTGATACCTCAAGAGCTCGATGATACCCAGCACAATATCGTTCAGGTAGCAGAACCCTGAAGCCTCTGACTTCTTAGCGTGGTGCAATCCACCAGCATAGTTGATAGCAATGTCGCACTTCCCCCTGTTCAGCCGGGCAGCACCCTCCATCGACCCACCACCGCTGATACCACAGAACTCGTACAGACCGTCAAATACCGGACAGTCATCTCCAACATTGAACTTGACACTCTCCTTCTGGAACATCTCCAGGTTATCTGGCGTGACACGAGATAGGAAGTCAATGTACTCGTCTGTGTGGAACTGACACATCTCCTGCTTCGTAGCAGGCTTGGCCCTATAGATCTCCATCTTCTTATAGAGCCCATAGTTCATTATAAGAGAATGTGCCATTCTTATTCTATGTGGTTTCATCGGATGACCTGCACCGTAGGCATAGTTACCAACATCGGCATCGTAGAAGTACGCAACACGCTTCTTATCGTTGGGCTTCACCGTGATTGGGTCAAACGGCTTCTGCTCGTAGTTCGATAGCCCCATTTGTCTCTGTGCTTTAGCGTGAAAAGAGCCCGCAATCTGTGCTTCGAAGCGATGGCGTTGATGTTGATGTTGGAGAGAGGTGGGAGAAAAGCTCAGTAAAGTTTTGAAGTTAGGAAGGGGTGGCGGTTGGGGCCACACCACAGTACCAAAAGGGAAATATTCGCGGGTTAGGATTTTTTCAAATATCACATGACATGTCATGTGACAGCACATCACATCACGTGACTGAAATTCACATCACGCTCAAGCTTACGCCAATTGGAGCTTACGCTGTTCCACCTTCGTGAGTCTCTTGTTGTAAGCGGTCAAACGACAATGGCATTGAAGCAGAGAAGAGGCACGAGACCCGATGATGCAGCAGTGAGCGAGGAACAAGAGACAGGCGGCTGCGAAGAGAGGACGTCGATATCTGTGCTTGATATCTTGAGAATGGTTCTTGGGATACTCCTTCTCAACATGATGGTATCGTGGTGGATGACCGGTTCGCTTACGTATGGATACAAGGGGAAGCTGCTACAACGACACTTCTGGTACTACCAGCTGTTTGGGTCTCGTGTATCGATTACAGAGGACGAGCTTCTGCAGTTTAACGGGTCGGATGCCTCGAAGCCCTTGTACATTGCCATTAACGGCACAGTATGGGACGTGTCCAGTAACCCAAGGTCGTTTGGTGCTGGCGGCAGCTATGGCTCATTCGCAGGTAAAGACGTTGCAAGGGCGCTTGCAACGAACTGCCTGAACCATCTGACCCACGATATCAGGGACATAAAGAGCGATGAGCTGAGGAGACTGAGAGGCTGGATCGAGTGGTTTGACGATAAGTACTTCAGGGTTGGTGAGGTGATACATGGGCAGCTCAACGGGATACCGCCGTCTAGAGAGCACTGTGCTGGAAGATCACGCTGAATTACCGTATTATTGGAGTATAACGTTATCTATGAGCCTCGTGGTTCTGCCGTCCTCCTTGACGTACACTGCAATGGACAAGATTGCGCCCGTGGTTTTGTCAACGGAACCGACAACCTCCTGGAGCTCTACGGGATCTGCTAATGATACATAGTCAACTTGGAAACTGTCATCAGTGAGAGTGTCCAATACAGCTTTCAAGATTGAGTCTCTATCGCCGCCTTTGTGGTACTGTTCTTTCCCCTTGTTCAAAGCCAGGTAGATATCACTGCTCTTGGATCTGAGACCGGCACTGAGATAGGTGTTTCTAGAGCTCATGGCCAATCCAGAGTCCTCTCTCACTATGGGCAGCACCACAATTTCCACTGGCATAAGTAAATCACGAACCATTCGTTTCAGCACAACGGTTTGTTGGATATCCTTCTGGCCAAAGTATGCCTTATCACAACCAACAGCGTTGAACAGCTTTGTGACCACAGTGGCGACCCCTCTAAAGAAGTTTGGTCTTGTCTTTCCCTCCAGTTGCTCGCTTAACCCCAAGACACTCACAAAGGCACCTTTTTGCTCTTCAACCTGGAGTGTGATGCCAGACGGATACATCTCAGGCACCGTTGGTGCAAAGATGGCATCGACTCCATGGCCGTTCACCATTATCTCTTGTAATCTCTCCAAATCTTGGGGGAACGTTCGTGGATACGAGTTCAAATCCTCATTTGGTGCAAACTGTGAAGGGTTGACAAAGATTGAAACCACTGTGTGGTCATTCTCCTCGAGGCATTTTGAAACTAGTGAGATGTGTCCATCATGGAGTGCACCCATAGTTGGCACGAATCCCAGCGAATCCTCAAATGGCAAGGATCTTCTCCACTGGCGGAGCTCTCTGACAGTACGAAACACTTGGATGGTCATTGTGCCTCACCTTCTTCTCCCTCTTTCCCTGTGTTAAACGATGGTCTCGGGAGAGTGAAAAATTTCTTCCCCGGAAAAACTCCATCAACAGCGTGGAAAAATAGGCGGGCGCGCGCGTTTACCCACCAACCGGTATAAACGACACAACGGTGGGTGTGATTCCAAGGATGTAAAATTGGAAAGCATGAGAAGATTACAAGGTGACGATAGATGAGTCAGTGATATCGATTTAAGCCACATTGTGGGCAAATAGCTAGAGAAATACTAAACATCGAGCCTACTCTTTCAACCCGTACTTGGCAATCAGCTCATCAACGAGTTCAATGTACTTTTGTTCAGCTTCTTCCTTTGACAGGCCCTCGTTGGCCTTCCACGCGTCCCATTTGTAACGGTCCTTGAGGGCAAAGATACCTGGTCTGTCGGTGTTCACGTCCCCAACGGTGGCTTGCTTGTAGAG